GTCTCGAGAGCCCACTACTCCTATGAAGTCCTGCTGGTCCTGACACTTGTCGCTCTGGGTGATTTTCCCTCCTCGCTGCTCCTGAAGGCCTCGAGGCCACCTCCTGCCCTAGAATTGGTAAGAATAAATATTTGCAGGATGGCAGCGGCGACCCATTTATTAGCAGATGCCACAGCCCAGGGGTAGCACGGCTGATGCTGAAAGCGCACAGAGACATCAGTGAGGAGGGGATGTCCTCGAAGGGGGGGGGGCTCAACCTGTAGCACTTGAGTGAATGGCAAACATCCACCTTGCCACTTGGGAGCGAGGTAAAGCTGGGGACAGCAGGTCAGTCACGTGGGCGGGCAGACACGGGTCACCTGGCAGATAACACCATGGGCTGAGCAGTCATCTCCCTCTGCAAACCTTCAGCTCTGAGGACGCACAAGAAGCCCACCTGCCCCGCCCCGACTGTCCCTCACGGTTGGGCTGCCCGGCAAGGGGCCGAGGAGGCCCAGGACACACAGCCTGGGGACCAGGGACCCAGTTGAGATAAGCGTCAGGAGTCTGTTTTCTCTGCTGTAAAAATGAGATCATGTCAAATACCTCCTGGTGCTCTAAACAGACTAAAGAAGAAATGTGGACGTAACTGGTGAGGGGCTGCTCGAATGTAGGACAAGCCAGAGTGGGACGATCCCCTCCCCTGCCCGGCACTATCATACAAAGGGGGCTGAGTGCCACGGTGAGTGCTCTGGGCAGACCAAGCCTGGACAGAATGAGATGGCAGAGAAAGAGAAACAGGCTCTTGGTGCCGGGAGGAGTCCCCTTCCAATGTGAACTTGACCTGGATTTCACACTGACCCCTTCCTCTAGGAAGACCGTCTGTAGGAGGACTCCTGTCGCTGCCCCTACAACGCACAGGCTGCTGCTCCAGGGGCCCAGCAGGGTGTCTGGGAGGAGGCCGTCCTCCTGTGAAGGGTGACCGGCCACAGCCCAGCTCTTACAGGCAGCAGCCTCTCCCATCTCATCCAGGTCCCGGATGCCTCTCACAACACCTGTGTTCAAGGCAGGACAGCAAGCCGGGGTGACCTTGTCCAGTCCCAGAGCAGCCAACAAGGGCCCCCTGTCAACATGGCCAGTTTGCGGCCAGGGCTCCAGCCAGGATAAGCTCCGCTCCTCCATCTGCGCTCCAGCACCGCACGCCCGGTGCCTGCTGGGCGGCCTGTGCCTGGTAGCATCTGTCCACCTGAAGAGGCCTCAGCGCAGGGAGTCCCCCCACCCTCTCAGGGCTTCCCTCGGACCCTCGAGGGGGTCAGGAAGGGGCATGAAGGATGGCCACACGGGTGTGACAGCATGAGGATGGAGCAGAAGCCCCCAGCCAGGCCAGGGCCCCAGGGGCCAGGGGCACACAGCCTCCCAGACAGCGGGGTGGGTCTGGTTCCTATCCGCTGGACCCCGGCTCCTCCTCCCCAGGAAGGAAGCACATGAAATGCTCAGCTCTGACTTTGCTCCTGCCGAAGTTGGAGGCGCTCTGTAGACAGAATCCTAAGATATCCCAGCCTGGAGGCAAGGTTAGTGTCTGAAAGAGCGAGGGCACCACTTTCCCATCTGATGCTTCAAAGGCTCAGGGGGGCAGGAGGGGCCCCGAGATGCCATGGCCTGCTGCAGCAAACCGGGTGACAAGTCCTGGGCCCTAATGATCACTCCAGAGCCTGGATTACAGGCAGCTCCAGCTACGGACACGCAGTGACTCATGGGACCCCAGCCTCCTAGCACCCTGCACTTCCCAGGAAGGACAGGGAGAATCTGACTCACGTCAGCTGCTCCGGTAGCCGCAGCACGTGCGCGGAGGTCACGGGGCGTGGGGGGAGGAGGAATTTTCCGCTGGTTAAGGTCAAGGACTTTGGGAGGCGATGATGGGTGGCTGCCGGTGGAGCGCGCCACCTTCCTGTTAGTAATCACGCCGCTGCTCACGGCTGGGCCCTGGAGAGCACTGGCATCCCAAGCATGCTCGCCGTGCAAATGCATCTCAGCCAGGAGGGAACAAGAACGTCTGATAAAGCCAGTGCCTTCATCCCCAGAACACACTGACCCCAAACAGCAATGAAGGAGCCGGTTCTAACGGGCCTCTGACAGAGGCAGGAGGGGCGGCTGTGTCATTTACCTAAGCCAGAGATGACTCGAGCATCTAAAGGGGTGCTAAATCCTGCCTCCAGCTCCCACCTGCTTGCTGCCTTCTGGAACTTTCCAGGAGAAGTTGGGCTGGCAGCAAAGTTCAAAGGGGCTGGCAGGGAGAGGGGCAGTGGGAGCTTCTAGAAAAGATGGAGGATCCTTGAGATGTGAACGACAGAGTGGGAAGGGCTAGGGGAGAGGATGACCCTCTTCCCTGTCACGAGGTCACGGACTGACACCAGGACCAGTGGCAATGGCTACCTTTGACCCTCTTGTAAGCCGCACCGGCAACCTTTGAACCTCTTCACAGAGCTAAGCCCTGTAGGTCAGCCTCTGGGAGGAGGTGGAGACAACACTAAAGCCAGTCATGGAGAGAATTCAGGATAAAGAGACCAGAATCTTTACCAAAGCCTCTGCCTGTCACCTGGCCACTTCCAGCTCTCTGAGAAAGGGGAAGGGGACCCTTTGAGGGTCTGGCACTATTCTGCAGAAGCCTCAGACTTGGTCTCTAAAACCAAGCCAGCTACCACTGAGTCAAGGCCCCTCCTGGGGACTGTGCTGCATGGGGCCTTTACCAGCTGTGAGCCTCCAGCAGCAGGCACCCGGGCCTTTCTTCCGAGATGCCTCTGGCTACACGTAAACTGCCAACTTTCTGGCTACCAGCTGAGGGCTTAACCACTGGTGTGTCCCTTGAGCCTCGTGAACCACAGGCAAAGCTGTGAAAACTTCCCAGGCAAACTCAGTGAGTCAGTTCACGGATCCTGGATTCTCCCAGATGAGACATGAGCAGTCAGAGAGCCAGAGGAAGACGTTGCTGAAGAAACCACAGCCCCAGGCAGGGCCCGTGGTGGGAGGAAGCACGTCAACCGCTTAGACATGGGCTCCCGCTGGGCAGCCCGTGCTCCCGCCGCCTCCCGCGCCTCTGACGGCTGCTGCTTTCGCAGGCGAGGGTGACAATTAGCTTTATGAGTTATAAGTGCAATATCTGGGAGATGAAGGCAGTAATTAATGCCTGCCCGCCTTCCTGAAGGGTTCCTTCTGCTTGGTCAAAGAGTTATTGAGACCCAGGGAGGGCGGTTTCCATCACAGGAGTTAAGTGAAGGAACAATTTAATAAAGCAATAATAACACTGCTAAATAATTTACCAGGCACATGGCAGCCGCCAATACCCCCAGCAAGCAGGGGGAGGGCATGCCGGCGGGTCCCAGGGCCCCCCAGGAAAGACCCACCTGAGGGCTCTGCTACTGTCCCTCTGCCCTGGACACACCCGTGTCCATTTCTCCCTCTTCACGTCTACATGGCTGGAGATCCAGATGAACCCTCACACCTGCTCACCTGAGCCTGCTGAGTTGATTTGGACACATGGTGACCTCACGTGACAGAAATGCCCCACAGGCTGCCTCGGCCGAAACCTTCGCAGAAGCTGGCTGTCACACTTTTCTCCCAAGGTGCAGCAGGTGGATTCGAACTAGTTACCTTTCAGTTAGTCACTGAGTGTTTAAGTGCTAACAGGCCTCCTCTGTGCTACCTCGGTCCCTGCCGTCCTGGCTCCTCTGCTGGGTAGCCCTGTTCACGCTCACTGCTGGGGAAGTGGGGATGGGTGCCAGGCAATGAACTTGTCGCCAGATTCCCACCTGCTATGGGCGACCTGAGATTCAACCCGACTCAAAAACCAATTACAAGACTGCTGGTTACAATGTGTCGGTGGTTCAAACCTTCCAAAAGTGCTCCTACAGGCTTGGTGGTGGGTTCCTGAAATGTTACAGCCTCGTGAACTGTCCGGAGCAGTTTCATGCTGTATCTGGGGGACCGACTTGTGTTCAACAACCACAACACGTGCCAGCCGCTTTACAGAGTTCCCAGCCCAGCATTTCTCACTAGACACCAAATTCCCAGCCTTAGAGGAGTGTGTATGAGGAAAAGACACCATCCAGTGACTCCAGAAACACAACAGAAACAGGCCTAAACCTCAGACTCAGCATGTCCAGGGCGGGACTGCGAAGGCAAACAGGCAGCTTGGGGGCCCTTGGGGTTAATGCATTCAGATCCAAAGAGCACGGCTGGCAGGGCCTGCCGGGGCCTCTGGGGAGGAGCACAGTCAGGACCAGAGACCAGCTCCTCCCGGCTCCTCCCGGCTGCAACGGGCGCCCTCCTGGCCTCGTCTCCCCTCTCTAAATCAGCTAAGTGGCCACGTGTCAAAGTGAGAGTCACCCAGCACACCGAAATCTGTGCCAGGGCTGGAGAGGACCAAGAGGAAGCAGGGAATATTAACAGACACTGCAAAAGTTAGAGGGAAACGGTTCTGAGTCCCGTCTCCCAATCAGGCAGAGATAAATAACTGCCTTGGGGTTTGCATCTCATTATCCGAGACCCAGCCAGTCGATTAGTCAAGTCCAACTCTGCCCGCCCATGGCACAAAGCAATCAGCAGCAAGCCCGGAGATTCATCTTCTCCCTCCGCCTGCCAACGGGAGGGGGCGCAGGGCTGCCGGAGGCTCTACGGATCATCAGGGTCACCTGGAGATGGAGTGGTCTGATCTGTCCAGCCAGAAAACACGGTCCTGGGCCGGCCAGGGGTAAGGTCAGAACATGCAAAGTGGTGAGAAGGGCACTGGACTGAGCTGGCCAAGGAGACCGCTCACACACCAAGTCTACGAGAGCTCAGAGCCTGGAACCAGTGCTGTCCTGACCACCAACGCGATCTCACCTACAACTCTGAGCCCTGGTCACTGGGACACTCGAGGGGCTGGTGGCTTCGTGAGGGGCTCCGTCTTCTGCCCAGAGCATCGTGGTAGTCTAAGCAGTGTACGGCGACGTCCCCAGGCGGGGCCGAGGTCGGAGGACACTCACCAGGTAGATACGGTAGGCGTCGACGCGGCGGATGGGACCCCAGCACCGGTCGGTGTCGTTGTACTTGATGTCGGCTTCCACCCCGCAGGAGTCATTGCTGGTGGTGCTGTGAGGACACAAAGTCATGGCAGACCCTCATCCGGAGGGGCCCACCCTACCCGGCTCACAGGAGAGACCCTGTTACTGTTGTCAGGTTCTCCTGGACGGATTCTGACTCGCAGCAGCCCCATGTGACGGCCTGAACCCACCCAGCATCCCTCGAGAAAAAACCAGGGGAAGCTGTCTCTACAGAGACAGCCCCTCGGAACCCCCGCGGGCAGTTGAGCTCTGTCACGTGGGGTCTCTATGAGGTGACCACCAGGGCTTTTTAGGCTGCAACCTTTATGGAGGGGGCCTGGGGGCACAGTGGTTAAGTGCTCAGCTGCTGAGAGACTGGAGGTCTGAACCCACCAGGGATCTGAAGGAAGAAGATGAGGCCATTTGCTTCTGTCAAGATGACGGCCCTGTGGGCAGCTCGCCTCCGCCCCATGGGCGCTCTAGGACTTAGAATCAACTCATCAGGGACAGGACAATCTTTTTTTTAAAATGAAAGAATAAAAGAGTTCACTGGAAGAACTCTTTTAACTTTTTGTTTTAATTATAAGTTTATAAAGAACTTGGATTTCCATTCAGACCGAACAATCTTTTTTTTAAATTTTATTCTTTTTTGTGTATGTACCGTTAAATTGGATCTGACTAGTACAGGAGGAGACTGTCCCTCCTTCTCCAGCAGAGCATCTGGTGGATTCGAACCGTGTACCTCTAGGATTGCAGTGCAGCTTCTTGCCACTAGGCCACCAGAGCTCCCTCAGACAGGACAATCTTTACGGGAGCAGATAGCCAGGCCTTTCTACCGTGTTACCACTGGGTGGGCTTGAACTGTCACCTTTCTGTTAGCAGTCCAGGGCTCAGTCCCTGCACTACCAGGGCTCCGTGAAGGAATGTGGGAGTCATCAGAGGACATCTCAAAGGGGCCCCACGTGACAGAGCTGCAGTGCCCCACGGGGCTTCCTAGGTGCCCATCTCTGTGGAGGCTGACTCTCAGGTCTTCCTCCTGAGGGGAGTTTGGTGGGCTTGAACTACCGACCTTTCGGTTAGCTACTGAGAGCTCAAAGACTGCCCCACCAGGATTCCTGATGGAACATTGCTGATGCTGATACCCAGGAACTGACCCACAGCTGACCCTCCAGTGGGTTCGCAGAGGCTGTAAGTCACATGGGAGGAGAGCGTTCAGCTTTTTCTCAAGGAGCAGCTGGTGGATTTCAACCATTTCTCACCAGCGAGCCAACTGGCAGCATTACGAAAGACGGTGGAGAGACTGAGATTGTTCACAGCTTTAGTTTGCTTGGCTCCACAATCAACACTCTTGGTACCAATAGCCAGGAAATAAAAAAAAAAAAAACAAAAAACCTTGCACTGCATTAGGAAAGTCAGCTGTCAAGGACCTTTCCAGAGTACTGAAGAGCAACAATGTCAGTCTGGAGACTAAGGTGCACCTGATCCAGGCCACAGTCTTTGCAATTGTTTGCTGTACGTCTGAGAGGTGGACAACTACTAGGGATGATAGAAAGAGAATTGATGCCTTTAGGCTGTGGTGCTGGAGAATTGTACTGAATATACCATGGACTGTCAGAAGAATAAACACATTTGTCCTAGAGAGGGTGAAACCAGGCTGCTCCTTGGAGGCAAGGATTCTAAAGCTTCAACTGACATACTTTGGGCATGTTACAAGGAGGGACCAGTCCTTGGAGAGGGACGTCATGCTTGGGAGGATGGAGGGACAGAGGAAGACCATCAATGAGATGGATTGATACAGTGACTAGGACACTTAGAGGGTAGGTGTGTCAGAGATAGTAAAGTTGGCTCAGGACAGAGCAGGTTTCAGGGCCATTGTACACAGGTTCGCTGTGAGTTGTAGGTGATTCGACGGCACAAAGCAACAACTTTCAGCTTGACAGCACAACTCCTTACCACCAGGCGGCCAGCACTCCCTTAAGGAACACTATTACCAACAGTAACTGAATTCCACTTCTCACAGCTGCTTCAGTTCCAGCAAGCTGACTGGGGACAAACAAGTGTCGGGGACACAATCCCTGACGACTCAGGAGTCCTTGTGGGAATCCTAGGCACTGTCCAAGTGGGCAGTGTGGGGTGCGTTGCGGGCAGAGCACAGCTGCCTGTGTTCTGTACAGAAGAGGGGCTGGGACGGAATCACCAGACACTGGCCTTCCATCCCGGGAGCTGCAGCGCCTGGCGGAGGCAGCCCTGGGCTACCATGTGTGTGCATGCGCTCACGCGTGTGGACACTCACCAGGTCACCTGCATTAGGGAGAGGGGTACAGCTGTGGCATAGATGGCCAGGTCCCCGTACAGGTAAACGATGATGCAGACATAGAACAGGTTGACGCCCACTGCGAGAAACAGAGAGAACCGGTCAGGGGGCAGGAGGGAGATGTTCACAGGCTATTTTGACAAAATCATTCTGTCACCGTCTTCAGCAGCTGACTTTCTACAGAAAAAAACCTTCAAAGTCATCTCTGGTTCTAGACGGTGAGAGGAAAGCTGGCAAGGGACGTAGTTGTGCTCAACTCCTTCCTGAGAACGTGCTTGGCCCCTGGACAGTTGGGGAGCTTCCGAGGAAAGTAAGGGTGTGAGCGGTGGGCCTGGATGGGGAGGAACAGGGCACCTTGGAGGTCAAGCCAGGCTTGGAGGAGGAGGGGCAGGAAAGGAGAATCGGGGGGGGGGGGAAGGAGGAGCTGGAGGAAGCAGGAGATGCTCCGAGCTGGGAGGCTGAACCCAGAACTCCCTGAACCTCTGCACCCCCAGCGCAGCCAAACAACAGGACTACAGACCAAACATCTCTGCTGAAGGACTCAGACACCAAGAGGTGACAGGAGGGGCCTGGCCCCCTGAGTGGAAATCAACAGCGTCAAAGCTCTCGGTGTGCAGGAGCCTCACTTGGACTCTGTTCCAGTCTTCAGTGCCCGGTGGGCACAGGTGACTGGCCAGCAGGAGACAGAGCACAGGCCCCTGGGCTGGAGGGGCTCCCCTCTCCTCTTATGAGAAATAACGGACCTGCTGGCCCTGGAGGCATGTGGTGCTGGGCTCCCCTGCAGAGCCAGAAGCTGTCCCTTCTTTCAGGAGGAGCCTGCCCTCAGGGGTGGGGACCAGGACTCAATTTCAGGTCTCACCAGAGACCTGGGTCCCAGCCCCAGCAAGCCCTCCGGCCTGCGCTATCCCCGTGACTGTTCTTAGGACACCGAATCCTTAACACCAGGGACCAGGCTCCAGACAGCCCGTCTCGGGCGCCGGTCCAGACTGCCGGCTCCAGCTTTCCATGTCACTGTGCTCAAGCTGCTTGCTTCTCTAAAAACATAATGGAAAATAAGGTGACAGCTCCTTTCTCATCGGTGGCTCACCAGAGCCTGTGGGGTCCCCAGAGGAACGCCGAGGGCCTGCCACTCCGGGGAATCTGAGGTCAGCTCTGCTCTGGGCAGCTGAGGGACAGCACTGAGAACGCACCCTTCTCCAAGGAGCCTCTATCCCTGGTCTCCAGATATGACAGTTGGCCTGTCTATGCCCAGTGAGCCCAGGCTCCAAGTCCTAGTTCAAGGCGCCTGGGGTCTGCCGTGACTCCCGCCCCCGCACAGGAGCAGCCCGGGCTCCGGGCACAGGCTTTGTCCCTCCCTGCCCCCAACCTTCCCGCCGACTCCAGAGCCAGCTCTGTTTATGAACTGTGACGCCCTCCCCAATCGATAAATTTCATTACTAGACACAAAACAGGAGGATCAATGAACTTCCTGAGAGGACAAGGGCTGGGGCTGGCATTTCTGATGACCACACACGGGTCTGGACCCCAAGGGAGCCCAGCAAGCCTTGAGTGAAGGGTGGCAGCCCTCCCGAGGGAGACAATGGCACTCTGTGATTTGGGGAAGTGAGCAGGGCAGAGGCTTACAGCTGGGACGATTCTGATCCTCCCTGGGGACATATGGTAATATCTGGGGACATTTCAACGGCCCGAACTGGAGGTGTTGCCGCATTTAGTGGGCAGAGGTCAGGGATGCCGGTACACCTCCCATAGCTATTCACAAGGCAGCCCCCCACTGTGAAGGACCCCTCTCCACACGTCAGCGGCGTGGAGATGAAGGGTGAGGGCTGCTCTCACAGCAGTGCACGTACTCAACCCAAGTGTCTATCAACACATGAATGGGTTGAAAACTCGTGGCACGTGCACAGAATGGAGCACGAGGCCACGCTAACCAATAGTGAAGAATTCGTAAAATACTACTTAGCATGGAAGGCTCCCGAGAACACTATGCTGAGTGAAAACAGGTCAGATGCCAAGGACCATACTGCCTGAGTGTGCTGTTATTTAAAAAGCTAATAGAAAACACAATGCATGTAAATAAAGCACAATGTGTGGTAAGGACTATATACAAACAATATGAAAAATAAAAACAAAAACAAAAAAAACAACTAAGCAAAGGTTACACATACAAATAATAAATAAGAAGAGTCTTGGAGCCCCGGTGGCCTAGTGGCAAGAAGCTGCACTGCAATCCCAAAGGTGTGCAGTTTGAATCCACCAGATGCTCCACTGAACAAGGAGAGGGGTCAATCTCCTCCAGTACCAGTTGGATCCAATTTGATGGTACACACACACACACACTCTCTCTCTAATAAAATTCAATAATTTTTTTAAAAAAAGAGGAGTCTTAAGGGTGCAAATGACCAAGGCTCAACTTCTAATGAAAAGGTTAGCAGTTCAAATTCACCCAGAGCTCCTCACAAGATGGGCCTGGCGGGCACTGAGACCACAGCCTAGAAAGCCCAGTGGGGCAGGCCTGCTTGGCACACGCCAGACTGCAGGACTCGGAATTGACTTGATTACAACAAGGCGCGAGTCTGAGGTGTGGAGGAATAAAAAGACAAAACCCATCAGTTCCAGAGCTCTTCATGGAACGAGAGTGGATTGTAAAGCCTTACGTCCGAGAGGAGGAGGTGTCGCAGTGCCCCCTCTCGTCTCACCGTGCAGCAAGCCCGCCTGTGGGAAGGGATGTGGCCTGTGTGCTGAGTGTGAATGTTCATGCCGAGTCTACGAGGTGAGGACAGGTGGAAATGGACCAGAAGCAAAGCCCAAGGGGGACGTGGGCCACATAGCCCTCTGAGGCTACTCCACGGAGAACCCCGGGAACTTTCCCCTGAGAACCAGGATCATCCTGGGCCCCACATGGGACGGCTGAACCCCACCACCACCACCATCAATCAGAGCACTGAACAGCTGACACACACTCGACAACTCTCATTTCTGGGGTCTCCTCCACCTCCTGGCTCTAACTTGTGCAGACACACTCAAGACCACAGAGAAGTGGGGGAGAAGCCTCTGCAAAACAGGGCTTTGAACTGGTTCATTCTGGTTTGACCTCCTATCGAGGCACGTATTTCCACGCCAGGTGTACTGAATCAGAATCTGCGGGGCCCGCGTGACGCTCATGACACGTTCTGATATGTGTATCTAGGGTGGAAATGCAAAGTCTCAGAATGAGTTGAACTAGAATGAACCAGTTCAAAAAGGGTGTTTGGTAAAGGGGGTGCAGGGTTTGAAGGGCAGAAGATCTACAGAGACAACTGCCAGTGGAGGATTTACTGAGGACATGTCTGACCTTTTACGAAGGGAAAACCCACAGGCTTGGGTTTTTAGAAAATAAACCCTTAAACAGCTCATCTTTCAAAGAACAAGATTTATCAGGGAGGTGTAAGACGTTCCCCTGGAACACCCAACGACCTACCACCGATTCTGAGACCTTTTCAGGTTGCAGCAAATGCAGCAAAGCCCACAGGTAAAGTGGGGCAGAAACACCAGCAGGCTCCCCTGTGGGCCCAGGTGCAGCCCCACCTACGGGCCCACGGCTCCCTCTGCTGGCCACCGCCGGGAGGACGCAGGCTGGGCCGGCGGGTGGACGCAGAGACACCTCTGATCAGGAGGAAGTTCTGGTTCCTGGCAGAGCAATCAAGAAAGACCACCAGCCAGCCGCCCTGGGCTCCCTCTGAGAAAGCTGCCAAGGAGAGTCGGGCCCAGCGGATGAAAGAGAAGGCCTCCTTTTTGTCCCCAACAGCAGCGACCAGAGTGAACCACCCAAGAAAACAACTGGGGCACGGACGGGCTTCTCGAGAAGGTGGCTTCCCAGATGTTCTGGGGATCAGCCAGCTTCCTTCTCCTCCTCCACTGAGTCATCAAGGGGCTGCACTGCCTGCACGGGGGCCGAAGATGGGACCCCGGCAACAGGTGCTGGTCTGCAGAAGCCACTCTCCCTCCAGGCCCACGTCCGCCACCCCCTGACCCCAGAGCACGGCTGGAAGGCCCAGGCCCATACCTTTATTGAAGAACATGGAGGCCATCTGTCCCATCTCCACCCGGTCTGTGATTTCAAAGAGATTTGAAGAACCGCGTCGCTCTGTGGAGCCAACGGACAAGGTGAGGATTGATTCTTCCATCTGAGGGAGCTCAGGGGCTGTGATGAGCTCATAGAACTTTCCAGAATAGCGAAATCTCTAAGTGTTTCTCACGTTGGAGAGAATGTTTCCTGCTGGAGACACTTTAAGACAGAGCCCATGCCTGGAAAATCTGGGGTGCTTGTGTGAGGCTGGGAGTGGGGAGAGACAGGTACCTCATCTGGGATTGCCTTGCTCAGGGAGGAGGCAATCCTGAGAGAGAGAGACAGAGAGAGAGAGAGAAAGACAGAGAGACAGAGAGAGAGAGACAGAGAGAGAGAGAGAGAGAGAGAGAGAGAGAGAGAATGAATGGGTAGGACAGGGGGATACAAGTCAGGGTCCTGAGTTCTCCTCAACTTCCAGGGTGCTGGAATTCCAACTCAAGACGAGACGGGACTTAACATTTCTGACTGAGAGGTGGGTGTCAGGAGGGCCTGGGCAGCACCCTATCTTCACTCTCCCATGGCCAGGGCCAGGAGTCAACCACCAGGCAGGAAGGGTCAGAGAATCAGTGCGTGGGGGCCTCTCAGGGCTTCTCCTCAAAGATGGAGAACCCCATGGACCTGAAGGAGGTACTGGCCTGCCCAGAACCCCGAGACTTACGCACAGACAGGATAGGCCGCTTCTCTGCCCGCTCGTAGTTGTCCTGGACGAGAACATCACTGTCAGAGGCCGAGGAAGAGTCGTCCTCATCCTCCTCCTAGGACAGAGAAGGGACACAGATCATCATTTCTTCTAGAAAGTACCTACAAACTTCATGGTAGTGCTGTCAAGCCACTTTTCGATATGCAGGAATCTGTATGGCAGTTTTCTTGGCTGCTGGCATTAGGGGATCAGTTTACCAGGCCTTTCTCTTGTGGAGCTACGAGGTGGGTTTGAACTGCCGACCTTTTGATTAGCAGCCAAGCACTTAACTGTTGCACTGTTAGGGCTCCTTCAACCTTCCCAACTACCATGTTAGAAGGTGGCAGACCCGCTCCAAAGAAGCTGCAGTTCAGCCTCTCGTGGCGAAGCGGCGAGTCACCCCCTCTGTTCATGGGGCCGAGGGGGAGAGAGGCCTGTGCTGCTGCATTAAACCAGCGAAGGCTCGTCTGCACTGCAAACTGCACTTGGAGATCAATGCAGCCCTGGGACTTGGGGTGCAGAGTGAGGAGCCTGGAGACCAGGCCCCCCCAAACATAAGGGGGAGCCCTGGCTGCAGTTAGCAGCCGCTCTGGTAGGAGGAGTCACCAGCAGAGCAAGGGCATCGCACACACCTTGTGGCTTTCCATCCGCTTCCAGCGGAGCTGCGCGTTGGCTGCGGCCATGGCTTCCATCACAAAGGTGGTGGTCACAAAGCTGAAGGGGACAGGTGTTAATTGCCAAAGGCAGGCGGGAGGTTGGAGGAGGTCCAAGAGGGAAAAAAAAAGGAAAAGCCATTTTAGGAACTGACCGAACCAACAGATACACAGTGTTCTCTTCTGAGTGCCTGCTCCCTGGAGAATGTTCCAGACGGGTCCCACCTGTTAGGAGTGTGTGCATCCTTCCACCTACATGAGCTTGCTTCGATGTCCTTGTCTGTGTCTAGACTTTATGTCCAGTGCAGCTGGGGACAGGAGTGTGGGACAAGCTGAGGGGGCAGGAGGTGGCATGGGGGTGGTTACACAAGGTGGAGATGAAGAGCCAGGGAGACGTGAACCCAGGGGCCTCAGTACCCCACCCCGGGAGGGGCTTCTGGGAACCGAGTGGGAGAGGCGGAGGGGCAGGCCCTGCATGACGCTGCCGGGTGGAAGAAGCGGCTGCGGGAAGGATACAGACCGCGTCCACTCACCTCCTCACTAACGGAGGTGGTGCTGCCTGATAACTGAAAAGGAGACCCTGGCCCCATCCCTTGCCCTCGCTTCCGGCAGCACTCTTACTTTCCCAATCTTGCTTTCTCTGGCTAATATTTAAACAGCCAAACGTTTCCACGGCCTGGATCAAACGGCAAATGGGGAGGCGTCACCAGACACTTGCTGAGGGGAGAATGGAAAAAAATACCCACCTCCTGACTGGGGAGAATAAAAAAAAAAATCTTTCTCTTTTCCTTTTACGGAAATGTGGGGAGCCTTCGAGGTTGGCTACTTGGGCCCATGGACCGTGCACCAAGCAGCAAGCTTTGTGAGCCAGAGACACTGGAGGGACCACCTTCTTGACAGAAATGAGACCTGGCCCCCTCTCTGCCAAGAGATGCCTTGGGGGGGGGGACATTCGTCACTCCTTCTCTTGAGGCTGGGACTCGGGGTGTTGGCCTTGATCCTGTGCCCTCAAGTGCCATCAACGGCAGTGGGCTGACTGCTGGACCCTGTGGCCAGGCAGGGGGTGGGTGTTTGATCCCCCGCACCCCACACTCCTGGGGGCTGGCCAGCTCTGGAACTCCCATTCCAATCACCTCAGCACCTCCTGGGAGCTTTCTCATTATCTTGTCTAAGTGACCGTTTTAAGGATATTAGATTTCCTCTTCTTTTTGGAAGTAAAACCAAAATCAATCTTAATTAAGGAATAAAGAGACTTCATGGTTGCACAGAGCCAACTCATTGATCATGTTCAAACCTAAATGGGCAGAGCAAGGAGGGGGCATGTCTGTGCCTACTTGGGGCCCCTCAATAATCATTTCTACTCAGATGGCTGCCTGTGCTGAAGGTCCTTTAAAGGGGACAAAACCAAAGTCGCTGTCAGCAAGTTGATCCTGAACCCTAAGAATCCTGCAGGACTGGGGAGAGTGGCTCCCCAAGGCGTCCAAGGCTGGCAGCCTCATGGAGGCCAAGTGCCTCCTTCTCCCTCAGAACTGCCCCCGTGGCCAGCAGCTGGGTGGTGTAATCACTGATCCACCAGGGCTTCTCCTAAAGGTGCCACCCTCCACTGCCACCAAGCAGACGGGACTCATAACGACCCTCGGCTGGGCTTCTGAGTCTGGGGGAGGAGACTGCCCATCTTCCTACGGCAGATTCGAACCACCGGCCTTTTGGTTACGAGCACGATGTTAACACACTAGGCTACCAGGGCTCCTCCTCAACAGGAAGGCAAAGCCACGTAAGGACAGACTTCTGTGCTCTCGGCACCAGGGATTCCAGTACTAAATGAGTCAAGGGCACCCCAAGGCTGACATGTCGGAAGGAGCTGAAAAGCATGAGAGTTCATTTAGCGTCTTCGATGTTCCAGCTTCTCCAAGGACGACACTCTGCTTTGCTGTTTTGGTAGCTGTCATTGCCAGATGTCACCGAGCGGGCTCCAGCGTGCAAGTGACCCCACGTGACAGAGGAGAGCTGCTCACAGGGTTTCCCACCACATCTTTCCTGCAGAGCCACTGGGTGGGCCTGAACCCTAAATCTAACCCTTTCTGATTAGCTTAACCAGTGCACCACCAGGGCACCTTTGCTGGAAGCTTTGCAACCAGGATTTCAAACACCAGCAGGGTCATGTTCGGTGGAAAGGTCTGAGCAGAGCTTCCGGACAAAGACAGACAAGCTTACAGCCGACTGATTCCAAAACTCGGGCAGCGAAAGAGCTGGGGGACACCTGCCCAACAGTGTGGGAGATGCGCCCCTTTGCTGGACGCTCACTGTGGTCAGGCCGGAACTGACTCAGAGCTGATCCTCCCGTGGGTTTCCAAGGCTGTAAATCACTCCAGAGATTGACCAACCATCTCCCTCCTCTGTAGCCACTGGTGGGTCTGAACTGCCAGAGGTGTGGACTTTGGCTTAGCAGTGCAACTCCTGAAGGTCTAGGCTATTTGAGTCCTAGGTTGGAAGGTCTTCAAAAAAACACGGTGGCTGCAACAAACGATGGACTTGGGTGTGCCAGTGACAGTGAAGGTGGTGACTTCAGACCTACATGTTGTCCTGTGAGAAGAGGTTCTAATTTTCTCCCCCTTGAGCAGTCCCAGCTGAGGGACACCTGGCCCAGGAGCCCTGGAGGCTGAGGATGGCCCTGGGCTCCTGTCTACTGCACCAAGAGACCAGCGGCCACCTCTGTGCGTGCACACACGTGTGTGTAAGTGCACACTCTTATCAATCACCTCGTCCCTGAGCTATCTTACCCAAATTCTAACTTTCAATATGGCCCACATCACCTTAAACGTGGTCGCGTTCATTCTCAGAGGCCAGTAACCTGGGGTGACCTTCATAAAGTGTAATCTGTGGGTCAGGCAGCACCAGGTGCTTTCCTTTCTCACCGATTGGGATGGCGGGGGACCTCTGTCTCTCACCTTCCTCTCCAGGTAACCTTCCTTACCAGGGGCTCTCTGCCCACTGGCATGTTGGTTGTGACATTCACACTTCCTGACTCCTCTGGCTCCCCCCAGGTCCCCCTGGGCCGCCTCCCATGACCCCTTACCTCATGAAGCTCAGGAACACCAGCAGGACCAGGCTGACCAGCCAACCAGCGGTGGCAAAGGCCTTGGGCATGGTGAGCGCGCCGGTGCCCACGATGAGGTTGAACATGTACACCAGCCCGACCTGCGGCCAACACAATGACACTCAAAACCCCAGGTCGGTTAACGCTCCTTCCTACGGCTTCCAAGGGCGACTCCCAAGAGGACAGTAAAACTGTGGTGGCAAGGGCCACGCGTGCGGTGCCCAGCCGGTAAGAGGAAACAGCTCACCGAGGGCCCGAGGAGAGATGCTCGCGGGGGGCTGGGCGCTGGGACCCCTGGCTCCTAGAACCCACGCTCCACAGCCCCTTTCCACAGTGTCTCTGGCACCGTCTTAGCCTCTATTTCGGGTGTCATCACCCTATCGTTCTGTATTCTTCAGGGCTGTGCCATAGATGCCTGCTCTGTTCAAACACACTGCAGCTTCCCAAGGACAGAGCGCCCCACCTGGAGTACCAGGACGATGAGGGGCACACAACACATACCTCAAGCTAACGGGCATTCTCCCGAGGCTTCTGATCACATGACTCAACCCTTATCACTCTGCACCCCGGTAAGCATCCCCAGGGCACTGACCTTCCCCCCAACTCACTCTGGTCTGCTGTTTTGTTTTTAAGTGAGACAGAGTTCACATACTATAAAATTCACCCTTACACGTACACACTGCCGAGGTTCTAGTATGTTCGCCAAGCTGTGCAACCATCTCCGCTACCAAATCCCATCTCATCAATCCACAGGAAAACTCCACGGGCAGGCATTTCCCACCGGCCAGCCCCCGGCAATCTCTAATCTAGTAATCTAGCCTCCCGTCTCTGCTATCCAGGAGAAACTGCCTCCTAGCCAGCCCTCCACAGGGGGCTTCCAAGGCTGTAAACTGAAAGGAAGGAGAGACTGCCCGCCTCTTTTCCTGGACAGAGTTCCCTATTCTGGACACGGAATTTGAATGTTGTTGTTATTATTAGGATTCACTGATTCTGCTGTAACTCCCCGTGGCCCTGTGTCCAGCAGACAGGAGCATTGCCCATTGGGGAGCCATCGAGTCCCCCGTGCTGCCATGTTTGAGCAGACAGTGTAGACACTGACTGGGTCACTCACTGAGGGTCTTTTTTTTTTTCACTGACCCTTGACTTTCTCATGTATGATGTTTTCTCCGGGGGCTGGTCCTTCTTATAAGGGCCCAAATGTAAGATGAAATCTTACCATCCCTGTTTCTTTATTTTATTTTATTTTATTATTTTTTTGTGTGTGTACCGTCAAATCAGATCTGACTGATACAGGAGGAGATTGTTCCCCCTTCCCCGGCAGAGCACCTGGTGGATTCGAACCGTGCGCTTCTGGGATTGTAGTTGTAGCTCCTTGCCACTAGGACCATCCCTGTTTCTAAAGTTCACCCTTGCTCTACATCTCCTGGGACAGACCTGTTTATTCTTCTAGCAGTCTATGGTCTATCTAACTGAACCAACACCGCAACTCAAAGGCATCTGTTCTTCTCTGACGAGCCTTATCTACTGTCCAGCTTTCACGTGGATGAGGCAGTGGAAAACACCACGACGTGCGTCAGACGCACCCGAGTCCTCAAGACATCGCTGCTTTTAACAAAGTTTACCGCTTTAGAGGAATCTGTGCAGCACATCTGCCTAACGCAGGGCATCGCTTGACTTCCTGACTGTGGCTTACATGGCGCTGCATGTGGATCCAAGTAAAAAAAAATCCTTGACACCTTCACTCGTTGTGACACTTCTCACGATGCCACTGACGGTGAGGCCTTCTGTTTGCTCTCTGAAGTGTAATCCACAGCGAAGGCGGCAGCCTTTCATCTTTATCAGCAAGTGCTTTAGCTCCTTTTTGATTCTAGTCAGCAAGGTCTGTCATCTGTATATTGCAGGCTGTTAAGGAGCCTTCCTCTAATCCAGACACGGACTTTTCCATAGAGCTCCTAGGATTACTGGCTCAGTATACAAACCAAACAGATGTGGTGAAGGGATACAGCTCTGCCCGAAGCACACCCATTCTGCGTTTAAAGCACCCATTTTCCTCTTGCTTTGTTTGAACAACTGCCTCTTGATCTCCTAGGAATGATAACGTCCAACGTATGGCCTTTGGGCTCTGGCTTCTTCCACTTATGAGACAGCATGAATCATTCCTTCCTGAACCTTCCTTCCTGTCCACAAATAGCCAGTCACGCTCCCTTGCATGGCTACTACAGGCTTATTCATCCACGGATTCACGGAGGAGCAGTTTGTGGTTTCCACTTTGCAGCAGCTCTGAAAAACGCTGGTATAAACAGTTGTAGGAAGTTGTGGGAGGGCCTCAGGCCTTCGACTCTCTGGGATACAGACTTGGGAAAGGATCCCGGGGACTGTAATGGTTAAGTGTTAACCACAGAGTTGGTGATCTGCAGAGGAAAGACCTGGCAACCTGCTCCTGAAACGATACGGCCCAGGAGTCCTTACGTGGCCGTCCCACACTGGCCTTCAGGGTCTGCACGAGTCAGAACTGGCTCAGCAGCCAACAACAGCAGATCTGGGAGAGGAAGTGCTTGGCCACTGACTTTAGGTTTTTAACTGTAACTGACACCAACTCTCCTTTAGCTCTGGTGGCTTAGTGTTAAGAAAATGCACTGACAATACAAAGGTAGGTGGTTTGAATCCACCAGCCGCTTTACAGGAGAAAGAGGAATGGTCTCTTTCCATGTGATTTACTGCCTCTGAAAACGCACTGAGGGTCGGTTCTGACTCCACGGTGCACAACAACTCCTCCAGGTCAGTTTCTTACAAGGACTCTTCTCAAGACCTCAACCATAACACGCCTTTCTCAGCAGAACCCCTACTTTGCCGTAGTCCCTCTCTCTCACTCCCTCTGCACCCCTGAGCCCTCCCCACCCGAGAAGCCCACTCCATGTGTTCTGTCCTGGTGCTGTCAGCTGGTTCCTGAGACCCACCACCTGGCTCCCTCCCCGCCTGGCTCTCTCCCCCCGAGCCTCTCTTTCTACCCTCTGCCAGCCCAGCCTTGGATGAGACCCAGCTCCTGCTGTCTCCACTCCCTGATAATAAGCTGCTGTGGTTCCTGGAAATGTTTAGGTTTCTTTTTTTAAAAAAAAAAGTTCTAATGACTAGTCTCACAACAAATTAAAGGTTCCTCCAGCTGGGGCCTGGCAGCATTGTGTGGTCTTTTCTCCTCACCTAGGAACTCCCAAGGCGCCCTGGTGGGGCTGCAGACATTGGGTGGCCAACTGACAGGGCCACGTTTCAAGTCCACCTCACTCCACAGGAGAAAGACTGGCCATCTCCTCCTGTAAGGCCTGACTGTGTCGCACACCTGCTGGGGGAGCCGCCAGGAGGTAAAAGCAGCTTGGCGACATGGGCTTAGGGGCACCCTAGAGTCTTCCTAAATAATTGTCTCAAGTCCCCGGACTTGTGGAGCCCTGTCACCTTCAGAGGAAGACCCAGCTCCTAGGGATGGAGAGGAGGTCATCTGACAGGACTCCCAAAGCCACACTGATTCTTGGCCCAAAATCCAAAATCTAAGAGCCCTCCTCCCTGCCTGCCTGTGAGGAACGGGCCTCTTCCTTCATGAATCTGCTCCTTTCACACACCTTCAAAGCAGCCTTGGTGGCACAGTGCTAATTAAGCACTTGGCTGTTAATCAAAAAGTCAGTGGTTCAAATCCACCAGCCACTTCACAGGGAAAAGTCCTGACAGTCTGCATCCATAAAGATTTACAGCTTTGGAAACCAAGGTGGGGGGGGGGCGGTCTTCCCATCCCCAGGGCTGAGTCACAACTGACTCGATGGGACTTCACGCCGTCACTTCTCTCCCCACTAGGCCCTCCCTCCGCCTGCAAACTTCCGTGACATATTTTATTTTATTACTTTTTGTGCGTGTACCGTCAAATCAGATCTGACTGGTACAGGAGGAGACTGTCCCTCCTTCTCCAGCAGAGCATCTGGTGGATTTGAACTGTGTAATTCTGGGATTGCACTGCAGCTTCTTGCCACTAGGCCACCAGAGATCCCTCCGTGACATCTTTAAACTAACTAACTAACTCCCCCCCCCCCCTTTTCTTGGTCAGCTCACTGAAGCAGCAATCTGCAGCCCCTGCCTCCATTCCCAAGTTCCTCTAAGCTTCATGGTTTCCCTCTCTTCAAGTTTTCTACAGCCGTACTTTTTTTCTCTTTCTCTTTGAGTGAAAATTTACAAATCCTATTTGCATTTTTATTCATTCAGAGATTTTAAAACTGCTTAAAGTAGTTACTATGTCTCACGAAAACTTACTGCAGATTTTCTCTCCCTTCACCCAATTTATCTATTAACTAATTTTCTTCCCTCCCCCTCCCTGTAATCCTCCAAGGTGAACTGTGTGTAAACCTTTCCTTAGCTTCTTTATTGCTGTTGTTGTGGACCATCGAATTGGAACTGACCCGCGGCGGACCTTCCACTGACCCACAGTGGACCTCCCAGCAGGGTTTTTAGAGGCAGTAAATCGCACTGAAGGAGACTGCTCATCTTTTCCTCGTGGAGCAGACAATGGATTGGCAGCCCAGTTCCTTACCACGAAGCCACAGAGTTCCTTCCTTGTTATGCTGTTGTTGTTAGGTACCGTGGAGTCAAGTACAACCCACAGCGACCCTATGAGTAACAGATCTGAACCCTGTCCTGTGGTCATCCTCTGATGACATCTCTAACATACCCGAGACCACTGCTGCAGTCACTGTGTCTGTCCACCTGGTTGAGGACGTTCCTATCTTTAACTGACCTTTCCAAACATGATGTCACTCTCCAAGGAATAGCCTCTCCTAGAAACATGCCCAAAGGGAAATTATCGTCTTTGCCTCCAAAGAGCACTCTGGCTGCACCTTCTCCAAGACACACGTGTTCACTCTTTTGACCGTCATGGGACACTTCCTTTTTCGTTTCAATGCCACAGAGCAAAGGCATCAGCTCTTTTTCTGTCATCCTTGTTTACTGTCCAGCTCTCAGATGCAGAGCAAGTGATCAGAAAGATCACAGCCTGAATAAGGCACATCTTAGTCCTCAGACAGACAACCTTGCTCCTAAATGATTTGGAGAGGTTGCTGATCAATAA